TTTTTCTATGGAATGATTGGATTCTTTACAGCCATACTAAAAAGCTGATTTTGTTGTCACAAAGTTTTTAGTTGGATTCTCTTGATGAAAATTCATAATCAATCTTCAACTCCTACTCCATGGCAGTTCCACTCAGGCAATTTTAAGGCTTCATCCACTTGAGTTAGTTCGAGTAAGACCAACATTACATCTAATTGTAAATTTTCTTCTAGGGATCTTGTTCCTCCTAACTGCATAATCATCTTTCATATAATCATCTTCATCTGATTCATCTTCATTATCAACTGGAAGTTCTTGCTCTTGCTGAAAATGATCTTGTTCAAGAATTGATTTAGAATTTCCTGGCTTCATTTTACTCCAATCCCATTCACCTTTCTCATCGAATTTGTCACTCTTGCCGACATACACCTATTTAGGAACATGATTCAAAATTCTGTAGGCTTTGGATTCATTATTGTTTTCAACTACAGATGGCAAATTAGCATCTAACTTCTTGGATTGTAGCAATTTTAATGAATTGAGATTGGTGTGACCAAGTCTCTTATGCCACAAATCAGATTCTTCTTTATGACTCAAGCAAGATTTTTCTTTTTGACTCAAGCAAGATTCTTCTTCGAAGTTTCTTAAATGTAGAGGAAAGCTTCTCTGTTTCATTTTGACAGCAAATAACTTTGAGCATCACTTATTTCACAAGGTTTATCTTTAAATAGCAAACTGTAATTCTTATCCAGCAATTGACCCACCGAAAACAAGCTTTGATTTAGTTTCGGTACGTAAAGAACGTCGGAAACACGCTTTGTACCTGAAGGAGTTTGTACAATCACATCTCCTTTGTCTTTGACATCAATAAGCCTACCATCTCCAAATCTGACTTTTGAAGAATAGTTTGTATCCAAGCTATCGAAATTCACCAAGTTTGGTGTCATGTGGTTAGTGCAGCCACTATCATCAAGCCATGCTTCTTTAGCTTCAATTGAGACACCACATTTTTCAATTTCATTTGCAGAAAATAGTTGTTCTTCATACTTTTCATTGCAGCAAATAGTTGTTCTTCATACTTTTCAGAATTTTCGGTGACTTATGCATGATGGGCTTGTGTTTGTTGATTCTGGTTTGTAGAACAAACTTTCTCGGTGTGACCAAATTGCTTAAACCTTACATTGAGCTCCAGGTCTAAACCAGCAGTAGTTCTCAGTGTGGTTTGATTTTTTGCAATGTGGACAAGGTGGAAATCTGTCCTTCCTCCAATTTTTTCTGATATTCTCTTCATTTTTGGTTTTCTATCAGTTTGCTGGCCTCTTGAACCTCCTTCTTGCATTTTTGTTTTATGAGTCACAATAAGAGCCTTCTTTCCAATGGTTTCTTCTTCCCTATAGGCTTTTCTCTGTTCTACAGCTAGTAGAGCATTTGAAAGCTCATTCAATGATATTTGTAACATGGCCTAAGTATCTTCAAGAGAAGAAATCTTGGCTTCAAATTTTTCAGGGAGAGTCACCATAACTTTCTCCACAATTCTCTTCTCTTCTAACTCTTCTCCCAATAATCTTCTAACTCTTCTCCCATAATCGAATTTGGTTTACACATTTTCAATAACTCTTATCCCAACATTAATCATTCACCCTTTTTCATTGTCCTTCATTTTCAACATTTCAAATTCTTTTCTTAAATTAAAATACCTGCATCTGTCCTATTTTTTCCAAAATCCATGATACTCATTTTTAAACTTCTCCAAAGCTTCAATGTGCTGGCTGTCTCACATGTCATAATCTTGGTGAAGATAGGATCTGCAACAGCTGCATAGATATAAGACAGAGTTTTTGGAGCCTTAGCAACCTCTTCTTCATGTTGTCTAATCTGCTGAAGGGTTGGATTTTGGTTAAGAGGTGAAGGTACTCTGTTTTCCTCCTCATACTGCCATAATCCAAGCCCCTTGAAATAAGCTCTCATCTTCATAGCCCAAAAATGGTAGTTTTCCCTATTAAAATGAGGTGGTGAAAGATACATGCTGCTGGAAGCCATTTGAGGAAAAGCAAATAAACAGAAAATTTCACAAATTCTGGTTTATTTGGTAGCTTTCTCTATGATTTTCACTCAAACACACACACACACACAGCCCTTCGAGATCAAAGATTGCTCTGATACCACTTGTTGGTTTAAGAAAGAGCAAAAAAACTAAGAACAGAGAAGGAAAAATATGCAGACGAAGGAAAAATCTACAGATTTTTGTAAGTGTGGAGAAATAAATATTCACATCTCACTTAATTCATTACCAGGCATAATGTAAATAATTATACTAAACTTATTCCTACAAGTTTTTTTCACCAAACATACTATAAGTTACGGAAGTTTTGTTCACCAAACCTACCTAAAAGCAAGGTAACTTCACCCTACTTCTTGTTACTTCAACAAAATACAACAAAATCTAACATGAACTTTAACAAATACCTCGCAAAAACTTATCACACAAACACTTGCATCACATTCTTCACATGGAGCTGTAGCTGTAACTTTAAACTCCCACTCCAAAAACCTTCTAGTTACTGTTAGAATTTTTATATGACTTTAACAAAATACCTCCAAAAACTATCACCAACACTTGCATCAATTTCTTCAATGGAGCTGTAGCTGTAACTTTAACACTCCACTCCAAAAACCTTCAGTTATGTTAAGAATTTTTATGGGATCACCGCCTAAAATACTTGCAAATATATGCTCCCACCTACCTGCGAGACCACCTCCCTTCTCTGTGGGAATCATGGCTTACTACTTTCCTTTCATGCGCATAACTGATATGGCAGGATGTGAAACTATCGAAGAAAACAAAAACATCAGAGGACAAATATTCATGAGTATGATATGTCTGAGAATGGATGATTCTGATGATTATGAACTTGCTTGTTATATTATTACTTGTAAAGAATGTTTTGTTTGTTTTATTTATTATAGTAATTAAAATCAAGCTAAATTTATTTTTCATTTTTGAACTGATTTCATTTTCTTGACAAGTAACAAAAGGTGCTTTGCTTTGCTTTGCATGTAAAAGGAAAATTAATTTCTTCTTTATTAATGTGAGTATAATTTATATGGAAGTTTCTTTTTTTAACTTTTTTTTTTTTCTTGGCTCCAAGAAACATAGTACGGCCATGCATTTTACATTTCTTGCCTTATAAAGACAGACCACGATCAAGTACTTTCTTCCTTAAGCTGGCCAACTTCCTATCTTGAACATCTTGTTCTTTAATTAGCATATTTGATTTTTCTGGAGGGTTAGGGGCTTTTAGCACAAAAGAAAAAAGGGGTTTAGGGAGAAAGGATAGATTTGAACAAATCAGAGACGCAGAAGAGGACAAAATTCTAAAATTAAGTTTGCACTTTGATGGAATAGTTGTGACAAAATCTGCTATTTACAAAGATACCGAAAACGATTTGCCTAAGGAGTAAGTGTTCCTCATTATCTCTGATAGTTATTACATGCTTTTTTTAAAAAAAATGGAATATGTTCCTTGGACCTTGATTGTTCAATCAATGGCTATAACTCGTCTGGATTTTCAAGGTGTGAATCTGCATCAAACATAAATCACTTTTAGTCGTTGAACTATCTTTCTATTTTTTCTATATAAACATAAATATAACTTGTCCTTTCTTATGTTTTTAATTTCTCATCTTTGGTCGTATTCAGGCTTGTTTTTTCTTTTCTTTTCATGGCTGCAAATATTAGAGGTTATCATTGTTCTTGTTTTAAATCCCTTTTTTTTTTTTTTTTCCTTATTCTTAAACAATCAACAGAGTTATAAATGACAAAAACAGTAAAAAAAAAAAGAAAAGAAAGAAAGAAAAAGAAAATACTGACATGAATGGACCCTGAAAGGCAAGTTACGAGTTATGCTTACCTGACCTTCCAAAGCAAATATTCTATTATATGGTGTGAGGTTGATGTTATGTCGAGTAATTTAGAATAAATAAATAAATAATCCCTTCGTTCATATAAGATATAAGTTGTTTTAAAATGATTGTTTTGTCCGAGATATAATACGTTTTGAGTATTATATAAAGTAATAAATGACATTTTTTCAATTATATCCTTATTTTTATTATATACAAGAACAACCTTTGATTTTGATATAAAAAGATAATTTTACTATAATTTAAGGAAATTAATTATTTTTTTAATCCATGCATAAAAACGTTAAGAACAGATTATTAAATAAAAGGAGGGATGACTTGCAGAATAGGAACAAGGAACTTTCAAGTTAGGTGTATGCAGGTGGGGCCTTCAATTATTCTGCATTTGGTCACACATAGACCTTCATCTTGAAGAACTTTGAAGAGAAATATATTCATATAGAAAATGACAATTTCTGAAATGAATAATTCTTTTCTAATCCCTTTTGAAAGAACAGCTTGCATTGCTTTCTGCTCCATATCTTCTCCTTCCTTTGCCCAACATTATGTGTAAACTGAGGGATTTGGTTCTTCTTCATCCTCCTTTGTTTTAATTTTTTTTTTTTTAATCTATTGCTTTATTCCTGAATGTATTAATTTCTATATGCTGTGGGGTATTAGAGAGTATATTAATTTTCCTATTCAAAAAGAAGAATATGTTCATTAATTTATGGAGATGCCCAGCTGGGCTTGCTATTGCATGCAAGTCAATCAAAGTCAGCCAAAATAGAAAAAGATCAAAATATCTGAACTCTCTTTCTCTTTTTCTATTTCTTTTACTTTTATGGTCTTCCTTTTTAATTAGTCATAAAAATATCAAATACACAGTTTGGTCTTCTCCTATAATTAAGAAAGAACATGTGTTTTATATAGTCAATAACATGTGACACACTTGATGAATAACAACAACTAACTTTATGCATTAGGCTGGTATGAAAGATAATTAATTATTACCAAAGGATGAAATTGAAGTTATGTTTTTGTTTTTTTCATTTGTATTTAGATTTATATTTAAGGTAATCCTAAGGTTGTGTTATGGGAATTGGAGTCAATTAAGTTTTTTTTTTTGTCCTTTCTTGTAATTAAATGGGTGGGAAGAACATGTCCATCAACATGAATTTTTTCTTATTCATAATTGAAAACCCTTTTTGTTTTTTGCTCCATGGATAGTTACCATCAAAGAATTTAGAGTAGCATCTGAAAATGCAACCAATCAATCACTTTTACTAACATCTGTATATGCAATTTCTACGATTAGAAGCCAATCTGTCTTCATTAGGTGGTGTCTTTCCTTTTCTTTTCTTTCTTTTTCTACTTTTTTTTTCTCCTCTGCTTCTAAAGGTACAGATTTGAGATTCCACATGATTTATAATTCAGCGTTTAGAAACTTCTCATCTGAAAAACTACGGTGACACCCAAAAGATTCCCATTATCACTACAAGAAATAAAAGAAACCGTAAAAACCAAATGTGAAAGAGCTGATATATATTGATGATTCTGTTGACTGTCAATGGTGCATACACTTAGTTCATCGTTCTTATATTCATATATAACCATCATTGCATCAACTTTGGACGCACATACATAAAAACCAGAAGGAGGGTGATTTGCTGAGGAACATCTTAGATATAAACAGAAAGTTAGACCTACATATTTGCCAACTCCAAAAAGCATACAGAAGAACTTAGAAAAGTATGTAAAAGATTTGAACATCAAAACTAGTACAACTAATTAAAGAGGCAACATTTACATTTCTTGATCTTTGCATTTTAGCAGGACAAAGATGAGAATGTGCTTTAGTGGGAGTTTTAGAATGATGGAGACAGGGCCACCATCAGATGTGAAGAAAGCATTCCTCAAGTATACAGAAGGCAATGCATACATGACAGCAGAGCAGCTTCAGCGGTTCTTGGTTGAAGTTCAGGGTGATGTTGGTGCTTCAGTCGCCGAGGCAGAGCTCATAGTAGATCAGGTTTTGCAGAAGAGACATCATATTACTAGGTGTATGAGAAGCTGTCTCACTCTTGATGACTTCCACCATTTCCTTTTCTCAACAGATCTCAACCCACCTATTGCTAATCAGGTCTGGATATTCACATCTTCTCCTAGTGTTTGGAGTTTGGACATCACTTTATTGTTTCTGTACCTTAGTGCTGATGTTCTTCTTCTTTCTTTTTTTTAACCCCATTTACATTCAGGTTGAGCAAGATATGACAGCACCTTTGTCCCATTATTTCATATACACTGGCCACAATTCATATTTGACAGGCAACCAACTAATTAGTGATTGCAGTGATGTTCCTATTGAAAAGGCACTAAAGAGAGGTGTGAGAGCAGTAGAACTTGATGTGTGGCCGAATTCGGCAAAAGATGATGTACTTGTTCTTCACGGATGGTACGCAATATTAGTTCTTCTCGGGTGAAGTGTTTTTTTTTTTTTTTTTTTTGGTGAGAAGCAGTAGAACTTGATTGTGTGGCGAATTTAGGCCCAAAAAGATGACTGTACTTGTTTTCTTCACGGATGGTACGCAAATATTAGTTCTTTCTCGGGTGACACGTGTTTTTTTTTTTTTTTTTTTTTTTTTTTTTCTTTTCCCGTTTTTTTTTTTTTTTTTTTTCCCGTTGCTGAATTTTGTTGCAACTTGTAAATGTAGGACCTTTACAACTCCTGTGAAGCTAATTAAGTGCTTGAAATCCATTAGGGAGCATGCCTTCTCTGCATCTCCATACCCTGTGATAATAACTCTTGAAGACCACCTTACTGAGAATCTTCAAGCTAAAGCTGCTCAGGTACTAATTAATTAATTTCTATGAATATTGAAATCAATGTTTTAATCTAGAATTACAGACTAATTATCACGAATCGTCTGTTCTGGTAGATGATTGCTGAGACCTTTGGAGATATGCTGTTTTATCCTGAAACTGAATGCTTGAAAGAATTCCCTTCACCAGAGGAACTGAAATATAGGATCATAATATCTACAAAACTTCCAAAAGAGAAAGGGGGGCATGAAGTTAAAAGTATGAAGGAAAAGGGAGTAAATTCGTCGAAAGAAAAAGATTTGAATGAACATATATGGGCAGAGGACCTATCAGAACTTTCAGCTCATTCTGAAGATGATGGAACGGTGTGTTGCAACTCTTTGATTTATTTAGTTTATCGAAAGTCTACTTTTTAAATATATGGTTCAACTTTTTGATTGATTGGCCTCTTTCAGAGCAGTGGAAATACGAGCGAACAGAATCAGAATGAACAGGAGCTACGCCCTCGAGAAGCACCTGCATACAAGCGTCTAATTTCCATTAATGCTCGAAAGCCTAAGGGCGGGTTAAAAGAGGCACTAAAGGTTGAATTTGATAATGTTAGACGAGTTAGCTTGAAAGAGCAAAAGTTTGAAAAGGTTATTGCAACCCATGGGACAGATGTTGTAAGGTATTTATATATGCATCAAACATTAACCAACTGACCATTACTGCTTTTTCAAGTACTATTTATGATCTTCTAGACCAAGTTAATCCAATGCAAGCACCATTATCTTCAGGTTTACTCAGAAGAACATTTTGAGGATATATCCTAAAGGTATTCGGATCGACTCCTCAAACTACAAGCCGATGAATGGTTGGTTGCACGGAGCTCAAATGGTTGCACTGAACATGCAGGTTTTGACTTCAGGACCTGTTCCTTGTTTAATTTCCTGTCACAGTAATTTCTAAGTTCTCAGACAGAAATAACAAGCTTTCTGTTAATGATAAATAGGGATATGGTAAGTCTCTTTGGTTGATGCATGGGATGTTCAGATCGAATGGAGGGTGTGGCTATGTCAAAAAGCCTGATTTTCTGATGACGATGGGTCCAGAAAATCAGGTATTTGATCCTAAAGCGAAGTTGCCAGTGAAAAAAACTTTAAAGGTGAGTATTATCTTTGGTTGATGCATGGGATGTTCAGATCGAATGGAGGGTGTGGCTATGTCAAAAAGCCTGATTTTCTGATGACGATGGGTCCAGAAAATCAGGTATTTGATCCTAAAGCGAAGTTGCCAGTGAAAAAAACTTTAAAGGTGAGTATTAGTTTTAGTGTTTAGCTTAAAATTAGCCTTTTTGTAGTGTGCTCTTACTATGCCTTTTTGATGCAGGTTAAAGTTTATATGGGAGATGGATGGTATTTAGACTTTAAGAGAGCACAGTTTGCTTTATTTTCCTCACCAGATTTTTATACCAGAGTGAGTTGGTGATTGTCTATATCTAGTTTCCAAAATTCTTATGGCCTTGGGCTGTTTGGTATTTAATGAAGGTTTCCTGGTGAATACGTTAGGTTGGCATAGCAGGAGCGCCACCTGACAAGACAATGAAGAAAACAAAGAAAAGCGAGAACAATTGGATGCCCATTTGGAACGAAGAGTTTATATTTCCATTAACTGTTCCAGAATTGGCATTGCTTCGTGTTGAAGTTCATGACCGTATAATGCCTGAGAAGGATGATTTTGCAGGTCAAACCTGTTTGCCTGTGTCTCAATTGAGGCCAGGTATTCATGCAGTCCCACTCTTTGATCGCAAGGGAAATAAATTCAGTTCAATAAGACTTCTTATGTGCTTTGAGTTTCTGTAGAAATTCCCAAGATTGTTTTGACATATACACGGTAATCCATTTTTTTTAAGGTTAGGCAGTATATATAGATAGATGATAATTCAGATCAGGTACATGCTTTTGTGGATTCAATTGGCAAAACTGCTATCAGCACTTGTTCACTTGAAGATCAAATGGAACACATTTTGCAAGTTTGTAACTGTTGGAATTTCTGGACAATGGACTCATAGGCTTCATTACATGCTTGAGCCTTTAACTAGACTTTTGTACGATGTGTATCAATAGGCTTGATCTTATATTTTATCTCTTTGTCAACGTGGGACTTTTGTCCCTTACATTGTCCAACAGTAACCTATAATCATGTTCAAAGCCAGAAAATATTTTGTTGGAAATGTGAGGGGCAAATGTCCTACGTTGAAAAAATAAAGAAATAATAAACCCACCAACTTACAAGGCCCATGTGATTCAAATTCAACATAATGACGCAAGTCCGACGCTCCATAATAAAAGTCCAAGTTCAAGTTCAAGCCTATGGTCACTCAAGGTCCACCGAATTGTTACCTAAAGAAACAGTCAGAAATCCAAAATAGTTTTATCCTGTCACAAAAAACTGTCTAGCCCACCCATAAACAAGCCAGAATGGTTTGTACTTTGTAGTTACAGTAATGAACGGCAAAAACAACATAATATAAAAAGTTAAAACATCGATTCCCCTTATTATATGTAATCAAAGTTTCCTGAGTTGTATAAAATGAACACCTGTAATATGCACCGTGTTTACTTTAAACTAATGATAGTTGAAGAGAGTAAACATACATTGGAAATGAGGATCTATCTAAATTCAGGCATGAAAGAAAATGAAAACTAGGTTTTTCCTATCCTCTGAGAAAGACGGTCTTCCGACTATTTAACGTGAGGAGGATAAGATAAGAAGAGTATGCCAAATTATTCTCTTGTGATTGAAGACTGCTTTCTCGTTGTACAACTTGACTGACGCGAATTTTGCAGTCTAGTCTATATATATATGCTTCGAAAAGGAAGAGTGAGAGGTATGTTAGTACAGCAGCAACCTGTGAGCTAAAGGAAAAGTATAAATAACAACATTTATTATTTTATGACTTTACAAGGTAACCATGCACTCCTTTGCCCCCACCACCCTTTTCTTTAAGCCAATTGCAAGAAATCTCTTTCCTTTTTATCAAGAAAAAGGTTCAAAGCAAGAGTCCGCTTCTCTTATTCCTTCAAAAGATAAGCAATATCAAGAACTAGATTTAGAAGAAATACAGATTCTCACTTTGGATAGACGTCATTTTTGAGAATATATAAACATTTTTAAGTTCATTCTCTCTTTCTTTCTGCATTTAAAAAAAAAAGATTAACATAGGGAAACATAAACAAATATCATCAGCATTTCATTTCTTTATTACAGCAGATGTCCAGGGAGTCTTTCAGAGTCTGCTTCTGTTTTAGGAGAATATTCAAGCTAAGGTTGCTAGAACCTCCAAGAGATGTCAAAATTCTCTTCAACAAATACTCGCAAAATGGGAACATGGGCCTTGAAGACCTGCAAAGGTTTCTGATTGAGGTTCAAGGAGAAGATAATGCCACAAAAGAAGATGCTCAAGCCATCTTCAACAGCCTCAAGCATCTCAACATCTTCCAAAGAAGGGGCCTCCATCTCGAAGCCTTCTTTCGATATCTTATGAGCGACATTAATGGCGCTCTCTCTCCATCTCGAGGGGTAGCTATGCCACAAAAGAAGATGCTCAAGCCATCTTCAACAGCCTCAAGCATCTCAACATCTTCCAAAGAAGGGGCCTCCATCTCGAAGCCTTCTTTCGATATCTTATGAGCGACATTAATGGCGCTCTCTCTCCATCTCGAGGGGTAGCTATTCTCGTATTTGTTTTTCCTTGTCTTTTTGGTGATTTTAATCTTCCATCCTAATAGTATAAGTGAAGACTAAATGTGTTTGAATGCAGGTTCACCATGACATGAATGCTCCGTTGGCTCATTATTTCATGTTCACAGGCCATAACTCGTACTTGACCGGAAATCAACTCAGCAGTGACAGTAGTGTTCAACCCATTATAGATGCTCTACGAAGAGGTGTGAGAGTAATTGAATTAGATTTATGGCCAAATTCCAAGAAAGATGATGTGAAAGTTTGCCATGGAGGGTAAAACTTAATGTTCATTTATTTCAAACCATAAATAATCTTTATCTTGTCTCTTTGTGTGATATATATATATATATTTATTATGTTGATTTTCGAATTTTGTTGGTAAAGCAGAACACTCACTGCTCCAGTGGACCTGATAAAATGTTTATTGGCAATTAAAGACAATGCCTTTCATGCATCTCAATATCCTGTTGTAATAACTTTTGAAGACCATTTAACTCCAAATCTTCAGGCCAAGGTAGCCAAGGTTAGCTTGACCAAAAATTCCTCTCAAAACTATTTAGCATGGTCTTGAGTGTATATTTTTTAGTTTGAGCGAAATCTGTTCTTTTGGGCTGTAGATGGTCTCTAGAACTTTTGGAAGCATGCTGTACTGTCCTGAATCAGATAAAATGGAAGCATTTCCTTCTCCAGAGTCATTGAAGAATAAGGTTATGATATCCACTAGAAGAATAAGGTTATGATATCCACTAAACCACCAAAAGAGTATCTTGAAACTGAAACTAGCAAGGAAAAACAAACTCCAAAAAAGTCAAGAAAATCATCAAAGAGTGAGCAATGGCAGGACGAGCAAGGAACTTCCAAAAGTGAACTTGAAACTAACGATAAGGTATATCTACACAAAAATATGCCCTTGCTTTTAATCTTCCTTGTTAATTGCTTTCTCCTCTTCTGAGAAGCAGGATCGGCTATATGAAGAAGAACACATTCCAGACGAAGATGAGGAGAAGGCGGTTCCTGAATACAGGAACTTAATTGCCATTCATGCAGGGAAAGTAAAAGGTCCAATAGAAAATTGGCTAACCACTGATTCCAACAAAGTTAAACGTCTAAGCTTGAGTGAACAAGAACTTGAAAATGCTGTAAGAACACTTGGAACTGAAATTATCAGGTAAATACAATCATAGTCAGCCTATTATCTCAGTTACATCACTGTTCACTGTAGTAACTCTCAAATATTGGCTACTCTAGGTTCACTCAACGGAATTTGCTTAGAGTATATCCCAAGGGTCTTCGCTTTGATTCATCTAACTACAATCCCTTTGTTGGGTGGACACATGGGGCTCAAATGGTTGCATTTAATATGCAGGTAGTGTACTGCTTTAGGCTTTTTTCCACTATTAAGACATTTGATGAACATCTTTCAACTAGAAAACATTTGATGTTATCTTGTCACTTTTTATACATGTTGTGTGTGTATATGGTTTCTTTACCATTTTCTTTTTATTATTATTTTTTTAACCCTTTACAGGGTTATGGAAAGCACCTTTGGGTTATGCAAGGAATGTTCAGAGCTAATGGTGGCTGTGGTTATGTGAAAAAACCAGATTTCTTGTTGCATGATGGTCCAAACATGGACGTTTTTTATCCTCATGCGCAATTACATGTGAGAGAAATACTGAAGGTGAAAACTTTTTACCATTTTCTTTTTATTATTATTTTTTTAACCCTTTACAGGGTTATGGAAAGCACCTTTGGGTTATGCAAGGAATGTTCAGAGCTAATGGTGGCTGTGGTTATGTGAAAAAACCAGATTTCTTGTTGCATGATGGTCCAAACATGGACGTTTTTTATCCTCATGCGCAATTACATGTGAGAGAAATACTGAAGGTGAAAACTTTAGCAGTATTATTTGTGTGTTTTAAACTTCCACGTTTTCATTTCTTTAATACTGATATCATCTCAAAGTACCATCATTCTAACAGGTTAAAGTCTTCATGGGAGAAGGATGGGATTTGGATTTTCGCCGCACGCATTTTGATCTATATTCCCCTCCTGACTTCTTTGTCAAAGTAAGATTTTTAAACAATCAATGACTTCCCAAAACAAATATAAAAATTTGGGAACATAAACATGGAAAAAAATGTGATGTTTGCAGTTAGCAATTGCTGGAGTCCCTGCTGATAAAGCTAAGCGAAAAACAAAAGTAATTGAAGATGACTGGCTACCAGAATGGAACGAGGAGTTTGAGTTTCCATTGACTGTTCCTGAATTGGCTGTGCTTAGGATTGAAGCACTTGAGTATGACACATCAGGACAAAATGACTTTGGAGGCCAAACATCTTTGCCTATATCAGAGTTAAGAACTGGGATTCGAGCAGTTCCATTACACAATCGTAGAGGAGATAAATACAAGTCTGTCAGGCTTCTTATGCAATTTGAATTTGCTTGATCCCAATGTAGGATAATATACTATGCCATCATATGCATATTTAGAACAACTACCTTGATCAAATGTATATATGAGATAAGACAATGACAGGTTAAAGAAAGTGTTTAAAAATAATGAAAGAAAAAGAGACAAACATTTTCTAATTCTACAATATAGCTGTAATAAGTTGTAACCCCCTTTTTCTAATAATTACAAAAGCAATCTGCTGACTGAGGGCTGCCAGTCTGCCCAGATTAATTTAATGATCAATAAGTCAATGCAAGAATGGTTAACAGAGAGTCACCTACTGTCTAGTGCATTAGGTGACCATATAAGAGAGAACATGGAAGATTTTCAAGCCCGAATCATACAATTGATAATGACTTGAACTAACTCATGTAGTGTGGAAAAGACAGCACAGACTCGCATAATAGCCAAAAGAACCTTCTGCAGAAGTGATAGCAAGAAAAGAGCAGGCAAGAACAAAGTAATGCAATTGAAAATTAGTCCTAGTTTGACAGTGAGTTAATGATCGATTGAGAACCTCTCATTCTCTATAGAAAGTATGCTTGTGAAGCAACAGGAGTAGTTGACTGATATATGCCTCACTTCCTTTATTCAGAATTTATTATGAAACAGTTTGAGATATGAATTTATTAAGACAGCTTGAGGCACAAACCTAATATAGATTTGTGAAACAAAGTAATCAAGGAATTAATAATACCTTAATTTGTTTAAAGTCAAATCCACAGAGTTGGGGTTGAAGTTGGCATCTGGGACCCCTACATGTTTTTTCAAGGTTTAGTTATCCCCTTATGATATAAACACACTAACCTTCCTTGCATTAAAATATTTATTTGATATGGTAAAACAAATCACATGTTCACCAAATTCTTTGGAGATTTATATATTGCTTTGGAGAAATCTTACAGCCTGTAACAGAGATAATATGGGATGGAAACATTAAAAGGCAAGGCAAGGTGCCATCTTTTGAAATATCACGTCTTTCCCTTTTGCCAAGAAACTTCAATTCTTTGCTAAACTTCTTTTGGTTCTTGTAATAAAGCCTAAAATTCTTTAGAATGGACCCATGTGCCTCACCCGGTATTGCAGGCATATTATGTAGAAAGAAACCTTAGAAAGTAATAATAAATTCAGGACGTAGGTTTGCTCCCATGTGATTCAGATCCCAATAAATTGTGTGATAATTTTGCTTGAACCATTAATAAATCCTTTTCCTGATTAATCAATAGTTCCTTGAAGTTATCACTTCAAAGGTGTAAAAAAGGGATAAAGTGAACTGTTAAAGAAAGAAACTTCAATTAAAGAAAAGAACTTGCTCCAATATCCGAGAGAATGCCTTTGAACACCAAAAACAAGAGGATAAGGATCATTACGTTAGTGACCACTAACTTTTATGATTTTGTTACACTTGCAGAAAGAATAACTATATAAGGTGTTACAACAATGTAGGGTGAATTACCCTACAATATGGGCAAAGGAGAAAACAAATGCTAAGCATCTTAAAGTAACGGAGTAAAAACAAAATGGGATTTTTTTTCTTAACATGGAAAATTCAAGGGTAATTGGCACTGGAGGGTAAATGTCAATCTGATGGAATGGAGAATGTGAAAGTGGAGAAGCTAGCATGAGTCTCCTCACAAAGAGCCAATGCTCTTTCTAAATTTGCAACAATTTGATCAATATTAGGCCTCTCCTTTCCCTCCAGGCTTACACAATGCATTGCAGTGTAGGCCATCAACTCCACTGCCTCTGCCTCATGAATCTGAGGTGATCCTACTCTTTTATCTAACAAAGTCTGAAGCTCCATTGTCGATATCAGTGGCGTCGCATACTCCACAATCCCTGTTGGACCTGCACCTTCCTCTTCAGCCTTGAACACAGCTTTCTTTCCAGTCAAAAGCTCTAATAACACTACACCTAGACCATAAACGTCAATTTTTGCTGTTGGTACATTTAATACATAGTACTCAGGGTCAATGTATCCTACTGTTCCAACTGCCTTTGATGGCTTGAATTCTTTATCAGAACATGGTCCTGTTAATGATAACCCAAAATCGGATACTTTTGCAGTCCAATTTGCATCTAGAAGAATATTTGAGGATTTGATATCTCTATGAATTATATGTGGCACTGCAAAGTTATGGAGATACTCAATCCCTCTTGCGACATCCAATGCAATTTTTATCCTCATTTTCCAAGAATTCAAAATGCTGCTACTTTTTTCAATATTGTTCTTGTTATGCAAATGATCATAGAGTGCACCATTGCACATGTACTCATAAACCAAAAGTCTCTCATCTTTTTCATCACAGAAACCCACTAGCTCCACTAAATGCTTATGGTGAAGCCGTGATAACAATGCTATTTCTGAATCAAATGCACCCTCTTTCTCCGGAAATTTCTTTATCTTTATACCAATATCTCCTCTTTTTATAGCCACTTCATGACCATCAGCAAGTTTGCCTTTGTAGACAATACCAAAGCTGCCATAGCCAATCTTGTTTTCCAATGAGAAATTATTCGTAGCAAAAACAAGCTCCGATAGGGAAAATTTCTGAACCTTGTTTGTGTGCCTAGAAGATGATGTACTTTTCTGCCGCCCCAGTTGCGTTGAGCTATGATGCTTAAGCACTGAAAATGATCTTAAAGATGGTGTTGTGGAAATAGAACCATTGGTAGTCAAAGCAGTAGCAGCATTCACATTGTCATTAGTAATTGAGGGCTGCCCAGAATTATGATGTAAAAATCTGCATAAGCAATAAATAATAGTGCAGATGCCTGCAAAGCCACCAACAGAACCAACAATCAAAAAAGACAAATAAAGCTTATTTTTTGCCATTGATGGAGAAGATGGTTTTGTTTTTCTCGGAGGCAAAGGTACAGCAATCGGAAGTTCAATCTGGCATGATTTGCAGATATTTCCAGAGCTGAAACACAATGCCTTAGAGTCTGTATACATACCGCAATTGCTACAGGAAGACTGAACACAAGGGCCTGGAATTATCATTCCTAGAGGAACATCATTTCCATTATTAGACCATCCTTGTCCCCAACAAGTCATCGATAAATTATTTGTTGTAAGTCCGCATGTGAAATCCAAACCTGAAACAATCAACTCAAATGATATATCTTCTAATATGTTGGCGTTGAGTTGAAACTTGTTTTCTTCTCCCCAACATTTTACTAATCCATTTCTTTGCTTAATAGCACAACTAAAATCTGATCCTAAAGCAAGACCTGAAAATTCAAAAGCTGAACTAGAAGGAACATCCAATTTTCCAAACTCATTATTGCTCCCTTTACACACTAAATATCCACTTCTACTCAATCCACAAGCATGAGACTGTCCAGCAACCAAGTATAACATTCTTAAACTGCCAAACTGTCTTTGAATCTCGGCTCCAACATTATTATTATTATGACCCCAACAATAAACTGTGCTGTTGTTCCTCAAAATTCCACATGTAAAGCCTGTTCCAGATGTGAGTGTACTAAACCTTAAAGCAATTGAAGGCGATGGAAAAGGAGACCTACCTCTACCTTTCCCTCTCCAGCACTTAGCTATACCAGAGTTGACCTCTCTAGCGCAAACTTGATCATCTCCAACGGTTAGATCAGTTAATGGAACGGTGTCATTATAATAAATGCGCTTTGTTTGAAAGTTTGCAGCATTTGTCTCCCAGCAGAAGACACTAAAGCCTCCAGAACGAAGGCCGCAGAAGAAGGTGTGTCCTCCAGAGATAGCTTCAAAAGAAACTGTAGGTTTGATTGAGATTGTTTGGCCATTTTTGAAGCATTGGATTCTTTGCGTTGGTTCGCGGGCAATGATCCCGCAGACAGTAGCAGTGCCATAAATAACAGCAATGGTGGAGGCAGAGCCAAGACTGTCAACCTCAGTACAAGTGATGAGAAAAGCATAGACAACGGCGAAATAGGAAAGGATGAGTTTCATTGGAAAGATTGCAAATGGGCAAAAGCGGTGGAGGGTTCTTTAGCTTAGTTTTCTTCATTGAAAGCTGAGAAAGAGGAAGAAGAAGAAATGAATGAACAAGAAGAAAGCTGAAATAATAATAATAATATACTCAAATGAGACAGCCTAAATACTACTAAAAGAGTAGGACGTGGAGCGTGTGGTCCCTTGGAATCGGCAAAGTTGTCGAATGCTATACGACTGGTCGCTTACACTTTAATTCGTTTTTTGCCCTTTTTCCCCGGTACGACCAATTTAGTGGTTTAACTTAAAACTCATGACGTTTTGCCTGGGAGTGAAGAGTGGCTATCTAGGTTGCCGGAACAAGTTTTTTTTGCATATGCAAGCAACCAAGTTTGAGCAGTTAGCAAGAAATCCATTCTCCAGCCAGAAGTGCATCTTCCCTCCCTGTGACTCTATGTTTAGTTCAAAAGAGAATTGCTTTAACTCTTTATCTTTTTGGTTTTTGGGATGATTTTGATAGGAATAGAGTTATCCAACTCTAATCATAACCACGTGTCCCACCAAAATTTTAATATTAAAAGCTTTACAATTTAGTTTAATGATTGAAACGCGCTTTATCCACTCAGATAATTGTGAGAACGGAGTTTTAAAGTCCACGTTTTAGAGATGATTTTTAATATAATCGATCCCATCTGAAAGATATTAGTCTTTCATCTAACAATTAATTCAAATATCAGAGAATACTTTTAATAATAAAAAGGAAACATCGATATGATTTTATTATCGCAAGGGGTATGTGTGATATGATTTTACTATCGCAAGGGGTATGTGTGCGGGGAAATTCGCATTCAAAATTACTTTTACTTTTGGTTCAAAATTTGCCACTTGCAGCATTATGAAACCTTTAATAATGAATGCTATTAGCATTTTAGCAATTTAAATAATTTGGCTCCAATCTTCTTTCTAATCATTTATCAATTATTCATTTATTTATATATGTCTAACTATGCTATTTAGAGATATGAAATAGACTCCATCGTTGGAAGGAAAAAATAGACTAGATCATTAGAAGAATAAAATACACTCATTCCTTCATGAATAGGTGTATTTTACCTGCAAAAATAATTCATATCCCATTATATTTTTTTTCACAAGTCTTAAATTGTTGGCCTAAATGATTTTATTATTTTACTTTTATTTAATATTTCCTCCTTTCCGTATAATTTAACAGTTTTCTACTTTTCAGAAAAAATAGTAAAATGACTAAATCACCGCAATTCTAGAAAAAAATAAATTATCCTTTTAATTAATATTCATTTAATTGAAATAAAGTTTAACGCAAATATTTAGACAATGGTAGAGTTGAATAAAATAATTAATATTACTTTAATGTTATAAAACTGTTTTTTAAATGAAACAAAGAAAAAAGTCCAAAAACCTTGATAATATAATAGCCAAAATATTACATTATTATTAAATAAATAAAATTAAAATATTTACCTTAGTCATCGACTTATACATTAGTCAATTACTTTAATTTTTTAATAAATAATTATAATTTGATTAATATCAATGATAATTTAGTATGGACCAATTTATTTTAACGAAATACTAATACAATGATAATATTACTTTATAGTTTAACTTTAATAACTAAATATTATTAATCATGTCCAAGTCAAGCTAGAATAAAAATTTTGGAACAAAAAGAGTAATATATTTCTTAATATACATTACTGTACAAATTGTCAAGTTATATATATATATATATATAGTCGTATGATTTGGAAATAATTATATTTTTAGTATCTGAATTTTTTAAAATTTTTATTTTGGTGTCTAAAAGTAGGAAATATTTGCAATCGAATGCCTAGCAAAAAAAAAAAATGATTATTATCACATTTGAGAAAATGATTTGTTTCAAAATACTTATCACATTTTCTGGTTTGAAAGAGTAATAAAATTTTTTTCATTTTTACCCTTTATATATGACCAATAATTATTATTTCAATTTAATGATTTTTTTAAATAATTAGCATTAAATTAAGAGTAATATAATCAATTTACTTAATAATTTATTATAACTTAAACAAATTTAACGATTTTTTTAAAAAATATTAAATTTCAAATGTGAGAAATATTATGTAGCAGAATTAATATATTAGTTGGAAGATCTAACTTTATAGTATGGGAAGCCTTTATTTGTACACTGCCAAATAAATCAACATATTGAAAGGCCCAAGATAAAGAAGGGGAATGTCGCACCAATCCAGCAACCATTAACAACTCCATGGGCCAGTCTGCAACTATATGCATGTAACCCATAGTAGCCCAAAAATTTGCAGGGTTCATTTATTTATTTTTCTTTTTCTTTTATGTATTGCACAGCTTTCCTGGTAAGTGCATCGCAACCTAGATCCAGATTCAAATTTAACTCCTAATACTTAAGAAGAAGGCACAATTGATTTTTTTTTTTTTTTTGAAATTAGCCAATTGATGCGCTTTAATCCATGAAACAACCACTCTCAGACTCAGGGCTTCCGACATTTGAGGATCGAGAATACCTTAAAGAACACCACTGAGACATAATTGAAATTTAAATATATTTCAATATTTATATTATATCCTTATTTTTATTATTTATACGGACAACATATGCCTAAATCCTTAAATTATATTCTAATTAAAATTTTTTTTCTCTTTTTTTGAGAAATTACTGTAAAATCCCTAATTTATGCTTTAAACTCGCATCCTCGTATACTCATTTTTATTATTTATGCCTGTAAGGATATTAAGTGCCAATTCATATATGAAATAACCACTATGCTTATTAAATTGTTATTTTTGCATAAATTTCAATCCTTTTATATTATATAAAAATAATTAATATCGAAACTTTGTATAAAATAATTAAGGTTTACAGTTTGATTTTATATATTATAATAAGAAAACCGAAAACCGAAATAATGTGTATATGTTTTAAAAGTTAAACTACATAAATTAGTATCAACAGTTTCTTCTCTCTTATATGAGATTGAATTAATATCAAAATGTATATATTAATTTAGTATGGTCTAATTTTGTTTAACGGTCTATATTGAATAATGAATGCCCTCAACACTAACTTATTCTTAATTATTTTGTTTTAAACTTGTTCGGTTGACCATAGAATCAAAAATAGAAATAAATATATTTATATTAATAACCTGTTGGATAGAGTGATAAGTGACATTAATCTCTATAAAAGTGAGAATATAAATTTTATTCTCGAAAAGATTATTTCAATAGATATTTTAATAATCATCTGTATAATTTATAAAAAGGAGATACAAATGTAAATGTCAGATAAATTTCCCGACGAAGACTGTATTCTATAATAACTTTTTAAATAACTTTTTATATTTTGACTAAATACTATTTTCTTATATATTTAGTAGTATAAAATTTGAATTACTTTTTAAAGTTAATATAACGTCTTATAAAAATATAATTTTATAATATTTAATTTTTATTATTTTATAAAAATTATTGAAACAGTTCAACGCATCTATGTCATCAGATAGATGACAAAGCAACCGAGTATAACCAACAGGCCCGAATTCAACAAAAGGCTAAGTAATTTATGGGCGGCTGGGCAGAAAATGATCAAATACTGGTGATATTCTGCAGACAGAAGGTCGTCAACCCACTTAAAGTCCGCCACGTAGAAAATTCACAGAAAGTTTTGGACATTTGCAGGAAGCCAAAGACTAGGGGGAGGGGGAATTGCTGAACTAATCAGTGATGTCATATTCACATTAGTCCACAATTTGAACCAGTATCATTTAATACTTCACTAATTGTTTTATATATTTAGTTAGTGTTTCTCTGATCTTCTAGTCCGACAACAATTGAACCATTAACTTATGCTATTGGAATGATTCAGACATTATCTCCTGCAATTATCATGTTCCACGTCATTTTCTTCATTTTATCGTATTTTTTAATACTAGAGAACATCAATTTAGAAACTTATTTTTATATTATATCTATTCCATAATACTTATCGCCTTTAAAATTTCACGTTTTTTAAAAAAATTATTAAATGTGTTTTAAATTATAATAAATTATTGAGTAAATTGATTATATTATTTTTAATTTAATTCTTCATTTATCGTATTTTTTAATACTAGAGAACAGTCAATTTAGAAACTTATTTATATGTATATCTATTCCATAATAACTTATCGCCTTTAAAATTTTCACGTTTTTTTAAAAAAAATTATTAAAATGTGTTTTAAATTATAATAAAATTATTGAGTAAATTGATTATATTATTTTAATTTAATATTAATTTTTCAAAAAAAAACTAATTAAATTAAAGTAATAAATTATTGCGAGTTACATATATAAAAGCATAATATGAAAAAAGGAATATTATTTACTCATTGAAACTCACAAATTTAAAAAATATTTTGAAACAAGCTATTTTCTTTAAGTTTGTGATCAGTATTACAGAACAGAGATAATAATATTCATATTATTTATTAATATGAGTGATGCTATTCATATGGTTATTACATTTTTTTTTTCCCAACAAACTTCATAAAACAGATTTGAAATAAAGCAAACAGAAAAAATTATTAATTTATAAAAATTATCAGAATTTTCTTTTAAAAAATTGACATTTTAATTAAAGTTATGAGTCCAATTTTTTCTATAGTTATTTACTAATTTACTTATATAATTAATTTCATTATAAATAATAATTTGAAAACTTTTATTTTGATTATAAAAATATAAAAATAACCGATCATTGATAAATAAATCATTCATATTTTTGATTTAAGTTTAAATCCAGATTTTAATAATTTGGAAATTTCAAGGCGTTACAATATAAGTATATTTAATTTTTTAAATTAATGAAATAAGATTTATTATAATTGTTCCCTATAGAGTAATTACCATTTTAATATTTATAATTATAAACATGTCTTATGTGATCAGCGAGAGATAAAGCAATCAGACAAATTTCTTTTTCACTCTTTTTCTGTCAAAGAACAAATGAAAAATGGACGGTGATAAATAGAAAAAGGGGTGATGTTTTTGTCTGACAAAGGAAAGAATGACATGTGAGAATTTGAGGAAGAGGTAGAGGTTTCCTTTCATGGGCTCGATGAGTAGATCATAAATTTGACGTTCAATTGCATTTAAATGTTTGGTGGAAGTGTCCACATTTTATTTTTTATGCACACTGCATAACCGTTTGGACTTATGTTCATTTCTTGACGCTATTCAAGAGTCTACGTTTGCAAATTAATACACATACCAACTAAACCGTTATCCAAACCTTTGACCTTGTTACCCAATAACATTAGGACGAACAGAACTAAAGGATGAAAAAGTTGAGATGACTATTTTAGGATATCT